CAGGCGCGGACGGCGGTGGTTTGAAGAAGACCTTCAGCGTTGCCCTGGCGGAGCCGAGACAGGCCGTGTAGTTGGAGGTGAGGAGAGCGGAAGATCAGCCCGCGCCGCCCGCGCCCTCGGAAAGGGAGCAGGGTCGATGAGGCTGACTGGGGGCGCGGGTGGGGCCTGCGGGGCAGGGAGCGGGTCCGAGCGCGGAGCTCCGGGGAAGTTGCCCCCGCTGCAGTGGGCAGAGAGGACTTGTGCCCTGGGCGCCGCCTCTGCCCGCCTCACGCGCCCGCCTCGGTCCGCAGCCCTTCATGTACGGGGACTACATCGCCTACGACTGCTGGCTGGGGAAGGTCTACGACTTGAAGAACCAGATCATTCTGAAGCTGTCCAACGGCGCCAGGTACCAGCCACGCAGACGGCCGTCTCCCGGGGCCCGCGGCCAGGCGGCAGGGGAGGCTGTTCCCGAGGGGCCCGTGGGGACGGGTCCCGCCGGCCCGGCAGCCACCGCCGGCCAGCTGTCTGCTCGTCACTCTGTCCTCGCTGGGGGAAGAAGCCTGTTGGGTACCTCTCGGGGCTTGCGCTCTAGTGCAGGCGTGCTTACGGGGGTGAGCTCTCGGCCAGAGGCAGGGCGCCCGTTCCCAGGGCGGTCGGGGGCTGTGCGCAGCGGGCTCCACGGCGCCCTCCGAGGCTGGTCCTGCCCGACGGCGCCCCGGGCCTGGCCTGCGGGGTCACCGCCCTGTGGAGACCAAGGCTGTCCCCTTCCAGGTGCTCCATGAACACGGAGGACGGGGCCAAGCTCTACGACGTCTGCCCGCACGTCAGCGACTCGGTACCTGGCTCGGTCGGGTGGGCCCCGGGGGCCGGCGCCACTCCCCTGCCTCTTGCCCACCGGGCTGCTGGCGAAGGGAGGGCGCTGCGAGCAGCACAGCGCCGGCCTGCAGGGCTTCCTGGGAAGCGCAGAGCTGGGGCTCTGGGTTGGGCGCGGGCAGAGGGTGGGGCGTCGCTTGCGGTGACCCTCTCTCCCGTCAAGCCGCGACCTTGCTGTCTTAGCGCCGGTCTGGCCTTTAGGGCAGCAGCGCTGGGGCGTGACCGCGCCCGTGGGCCGCTGCCCTGAGCCCAGGCTCCGCGGGGCGGCCTGAGCTCGCCAGGAGCAGAGGCCGCTCTGGCGCCCTAGGCAATGTGGGGGCCTGTGGGAGGGGGCGCAGGGGCTGGCGGGGCAGGGGAGGTGAGCACCACCCGAGTCGCCCCTCCGGGACTTTCCTCCGGCCCCTCCCACAGGGCCTCTTCTTCGACGACTCCTACGGCTTCTACCCGGGCCAGGTGCTCATCGGCCCCGCCAAGATCTTCTCCAGCGTGCAGTGGCTGTCGGGGGTCAAGCCCGTGCTCAGCGCCAAGAGCAAGTTCCGAGTGGTGGTGGAAGAGGTGAGGCCCGGGGCGGGGAGGGGTGGCCTCGGCTCCGGGCCCCGATGATCTGAGGGGGCCCCGGCTGGGATGACTGTGGTGACCACTCAGCCTGAGTGGCCAGTGGCATGTCCACTGGGCCCTGGACCGAGGAGCGGTGACCACCGGGGAGCTGCCCGGGAAGCGCCTGCTGGGCGCTCTGACGCGGCCGCCCCGCCCCGCCCCAGGTGCGAGTGGTGGAGCTCAAGGTCACGTGGATCACCAAGAGTTTCTGTCCCGGGGGCACGGACAGCGTCAGCCCCCCGCCCTCTGTCATCACCCAGGAGAACCTAGGCAGGTGAGCGGCCCCGGGCCGTTGCGGGGGTGTGGGAGCCAGGGGTGGGGAGCCCACGGTCCAGTCCCGCTCTCCCCTCCAGGGTGAAGCGTCTCGGATGCTTTGACCACGCCCAGCGGCAGCTGGGGGAGCGCTGTCTGTATGTCTTCCCAGCCAAGGTAGAGCCGGCCAAGGTTGCCTGTGAATGTCCAGAAAAAAACTGCGCCCAGGGGGAGGGCTCTGTGGCCAAGAAGGTATGTCCTCGGGCTGGGGCTGGGGGGCGTTTGAGGAACTGGCCTCGAGCCATTTCCACGGCCAGGACGCATGGGCTGTGCCCTGGGCCTTGGGGGGCAGGCCCGCTGGCTCTCGCGGGCCCCCTAGGTGTGTGCCGCTGCCGTCCCCCACCCCGACCAGCTGCCTGGGGCAGCCTGCCCCGGGCCCAGCCCCTGGCCGCCGCACCCCTGAGCGCCCGCTCTGCCTTCCAGGTGAAGCGCCTCCTGAAGAAGCAGGTGGTGAGGATCATGTCTTGCTCGCCGGACGCCCAGTGCCCGAGGGACCATTCCGCGGAGGCCCCGAGCAAGAAGGGGGAGGCCAAAGCCAAGAGTGAGGCGGGCTCGGCCAGCCCCGAGTGGACGCCCGAGGGCTCGGCCAGCCCCGCGGAGGTGCAGGACGAGGGCCCAGAGGAGCCCCCCGAGGTGGGCGAGCAGCTGCCGCCCTTCTTGCTGAAGGAAGGCGGGGACGACCGGCTGCACTCCGCAGAGCAGGATGCCGACGACGAGGCCGCCGACGACACGGACGACACCAGCTCGGTGACCTCCTCCGCCAGCTCCACCGCCTCCTCCCAGAGCGGCAGCGGCGCGAGCCGCAGGAAGAGCATCCCCCTGTCCATCAGGAACCTCAAGCGGAAGCACAAGAGGAAGAAGAACAAGATCACTCGCGACTTCAAGCCAGGGGACAGGTAGGCTGGCCAGCCCCTCGGCGGCCCCGGCTGGACGCACCGTCCACCCTCCGCGGCGGCTTGGGGGTCCCCCGCGGGGCCTGGGACAGAGGCCTCCCTGGGGCGCAGGGTTGAAGCGCAGCTCTGTGAAGCTGTCCGCAGCCCCTGCGGCCTGAGCGCGACCCCCGGCCAGGGAGGGACCCCAGGGCGCGGCGGACGCCACCCCCCGCTGCCCCTCAGCCGTGGGTTCCCGTCACCCTGTCTGTCTGCTCCCCACTGTCTCTGGTGGATCCTCTCACCCCCACACCTCTGCAGCACCCCGTGCCTGCCCCGCTCTTTCTTGTACGCGTAAATATATAAATCTTTATAAGCAAACAATAGATGACCAAACCCACAGGGAGGGGAGGGAAGCGCCCCCACCCTCCCGGCTCACTGCCCCGCCTCCAGGGTGGCCGTGGAGGTGGTGACCACGATGACCTCGGCGGACGTCATGTGGCAGGACGGCTCCGTGGAGTGCAGCATCCGCTCCAACGACCTCTTCCCCGTGCACCACCTGGACAACAACGAGTTCTGCCCCGGAGACTTCGTGGTGGACAAGCGAGGTAAGGCCAGCGCTGGCCGGGCTTGGGAAGGAGGCCCGGGGCTGGCCTCGGGTCGGGGGACGCCCGTGGGGGGGCGCCCTAGTCACGTTCCCCCCCCGGCCCCAGTCCAGAGCTGCCCGGACCCCGCCGTCTACGGCGTGGTGCAGTCCGGGGACCACGTGGGCCGCACCTGCATGGTGAAGTGGTTCAAGCTGCGGCCGAGCGGGGACGACGTGGAGGTGAGTGTGGCAGCTCCCTGCTCCCCCGAGACGGCCGTCCTGGGCCGGGCGGGGCCCGGGGCTCACGGTGACCGTCCTGTCCCAGCTGATCGGAGAAGAGGAAGACGTGAGCGTCTACGACATCGCTGACCACCCCGACTTCCGGTTCCGCACGACTGATATCGTCATCCGCATTGGCAACACTGAGGATGGCGCGCCCCACAAGGAAGATGAGGTGCGGGCTGGGGCTCCCAGCCATCCTCCCCGCCGCGGCGCAGTCCCTGGCGGTGCCCCCAGGTGGCTCCCGGAGACCAGACCTGCGAGCGGCTGGTCGGCGCCCACCGCCCGGTCCCCAGGAGGGCAGCTGCCCCGGAGCCGTCCCCGTCTCCGCCTGCTTGCGGTCCTGAGTGCTGCGAGCGAGCGGCGGG